AGTAAAAACAAGAAAAATCGTACTTGTTGAAACATTATTCTCATGGGCCGATATATTAAGCATGGGCCCATCAAGTAACTAGCACTCAGAAGCCCATAGGTCCGTTGTAACATTTCCCAAATTATTCACCTCATCCATAATAATTCATACATATCGATCATTTCTTACAAAAACTGATTATGGATGAATTTTTGATATCACACTTTAACTGCAAGTGAAAGAATATGTAAAATAACAATATGAAATGAAGAAACATAAATTCATCAAGAAGCACAAGTGTGTAGAAACATAGCAGTAAAACTCTATAAAACTGGAAAATTGTTTTAACAATGGAATTCAAGAGATTCCACAAACAAAAACTTTAAGCTTCTACAAGCTAATTTATGAGGAAAGAAAGAGGCATGAGGAGCTTATAAGTAACCTCCATGCTTGACCATAGTTTTTCAACAAATCTTAGAAATCTCAAGCAAAAGAATCAGATCTTCAATTGCAATGTTCTTGTGGTTTTTAAGCAGCAACCTCTTTTCCTTCAGAAGATGAAGAAGCATCGGTTTTCGAATACAGCCCGAGTTCCTCTCCAAGTTTATTCCACGCATTACTCGGAGGGAATTTCTTCTTCACTGATCTAATCAACCCTTTTGCGTCATCGGTTTTCTTGTTCTTCACTAATCCGGCAGCCAAATGCTTCAAAGTATTGAAATCTGGAATCTTGTTCATCTTCACGCTCTTCTTAAAGACCGCGTAGCCTTGCTCATACAATCCATTATCACACAGATGAAATATCAATGTCCTAAACGTAGCTGCGTTGGGAGCACAACCGTTAACTTTAAGCCCTTCATACACTTTCTTAGCTTCATCCAACATTCCTTTCTCGCAATACGCGGTCAAAAGATAGTTATAGCTAATCGTATCCGGTTTCAACCCCTTACTGATCATTTCGTCTATCAGCTCCTCAACTCTTTCAGGGCTTTCCTTTTGAACACTCATTATACGAACATTATATGCAGCGTTATCAAATTCCCAACCTTTCTTCACAATCTCATTCCACAAGTTTTCCGCTATATCGAGCTTACTGCTCTTATACAAAGAATCCAAAATAGCGGTAAAAGCAAAGGTAGTGACTTCAATGCTTTTACCTTCCATCTGTCTCATAATCTCAATAGCTTTTTCTGGCGAACCAGAGTCACAGTACGACTTAATCAATATACCATAAGAGATTTTATCAGGGACGATGTTATTATACCTCTGAGGAATTTCGTCGAACAGTTGGGGGACTTTATCGAAATTCTTTGAGTGTAGACAAGCAGTGAGTAAGGCATTGAACGAAACAGCTGATCTGGGTGTTTCATACTGATCCATCTCCTCGAAAGTTCTCATTGCGTGATCGAACATGGAGGCTTGGCCGTAAGATCTGATAAGCATAGCGGAGTAGAAAGGCTCTTCCTTGATATTGGGGTCATTTTTGTTGGATTCAATTAGGGTTTCAATATCGGAGAAACGATTACACTTGGCGAGACGACGAACAATGAGCTCTTGGGCATAGCGAGAAGCAACAGGTGAAGCGTCGAGATTGGAGACATTGGAGTAGATCTCTAGAGCTTTGTCGGGATCGTGTACTTTCTTGAGAATGGACTTAGCTTTCGAGACAGAGATCTTGCCTGAAGAAGGAGCAGCAGCAGTCTCTAAGGTGGTCGTAGTAGCATCTCCGGCGACTGTGGTGAAACGGCGAACATATCGGAGAGAGAATCTAGCCGAAGCCATTTGCAGAGGAATAAGAAATGAAATGAGTATTGTGGTGGCGGAAAAAAGGAGACGCCCTTTAGGGTTTAAGGCTTGTCAAAAAGCTTTGGGTTTTGCAAAATTGGCTCTTTTTTTATATCTTTCTATTTGTAGAATCACTTTTTTTGTTGATTTTGAGTAATTAAGTACACGTTTAAGTGAATCAAGTGCTATTGGATTTGGATCATTGATCTTGAGAAGAATTATTTGAGAGAGAGATCACAAACAAAGCCATGATTGGTTTTGGTAATAACAAGCAAATGTAACAATCATCTCTCAAGTATTGAAATCACTCAAAAAGGGTCTTTAACTGAAGCAAAATATTTTGGAAAAACTTAGAAAACAAACAAAGGAAGACATTAGGCTCCATAATCTCCTTGATCAAACTTGTCTTCTGGGTAAAACACAGCAACCACTTCGTTCCCACCAAATTTCCTACCATTCATCCCGTTTCTTGCACTCGACGAGCCATCTGTATCCGCATACTTCAAAAACACCTGCACATACATACGTATCCACAGTTAGATTCCGACTAAATAGAGAGATTTTACAAA